TGTAGTAGTAATAGTTCTAGCAAAGTTCCCATGATGTGGTACTGAATCGCTGAGGTCACAGCATACGGCATCCCTGCCATCGCAAGGGACAGGAACGCACTCCAATTGAGAATCACCAAACTTGAATAATGGCTGTTTTAAAGTATTCATCTTTCTCCTTTGGAAATGGTTGTCGCCATGAACTATCTGTCGTTGACGTTTTTCTTTTTTATACTAGCCGTAATGAAGTCTCAAACTTATAAACCTTTCCTTTTTATGCCTAGTTTTGGAAGTCTTATTTTCTTATTCCTGTACAACGTTACTACCTTCTCTAATATACCGTCATACATTTACCGTAGTGTGATGCGTGTAAAGGCCAAAGAAACGTAAGGACAGTGTGGGTACCATTGAGTATGTTCTACAATAGCTGAATCGTTATAGATACGGAACTTCAAACCACAACTGAAATACTGTACTTCGTATCCCAATCCAGTCTCAGATCCCAAGTAGACAAAATATGTTCTAACTAAAACATTCGAAGTAGGTTGTCCTTCCCTCTCCGTGGGCCATTTTTAAACGTTTCCCAATTGACTGGCACAATAACAATAATCAGGCAAAGAAACAGGAAAAGTGTATTGTATTAACTTGGAGTTCTCAGTAGGTCCTTCGATCAGTTCTTGCTAAGTCGAAGTCATCCTTCTTTTTGATGGCTATTGTCTTGGAACCATTTTATACCAAATTGAACTAGTTGACAAGTCGCACTCGTTTCTGATACACGATTTAATACACTTTTCTAATGGCTGACTGACGATTTTGTGTGTGGGTAAACGTACAATCTTGTGCGGTTAGTAGGTGGTCACTTTAAAATCTCTCCAGACTGCAAGACATCTTTCAATACCCCAAAGTTCACCTCATGAGTGGTGCGATAAATGAGTCAATCCTATTACTTTACACTCGTTGTGCACTCTTCTTTTTGGGCCCCGGTATTCGTAGCCAAAATTTTTGGAACCTCCACTAGCAAACTTGGAATCTTTTCGTCGGGGTGTTCATCCGTCCAGCCTCCTAAACGGTTTCTTTCGACGTCAAAGTGACGATGACCCAGGCTGTCGATGTCAATGCAACTGTCCGTGTCAAAATACAGCACACGATCTCCTAACAGTTCTAAAGCATCGTACAATTTTAAGCTAGCATGGGTTGTAACATAAGCCACAGTGATGATATTTCCAAATTAGCCAGCTTCTACAAAGTCCATTTCTTCTTCGTAATTGACCAGGATCAAGTCCTCACAAAGGCGTTCACCTGTTTCATGTATTTAGTTTTGTCGTGAATCATCTGGACGTAGCTAGAAAGATTGGACAAATGCTCTATCTTGGGTAAACACGGTTCAGAATGTTGTGATAAATGATAAGTGTCAAACGATCGTCTTCTTTGGCTCGACATTTCTGTTTCAATGTGGTTATCAAAGAATCCCACACATTGGTGATGAATTCTTCTGCTTTCTCCAACGGAACGTCAGATTTGAAATCTTTAAACTTCACCATGTACGTGTTGGCCGTGGTTGTAAATTGTCTAGAGGAGCGTTTATCCGTCTCTCGAATGGGGTAGTAGTTTTGAGGTGTTATTGGTGATGGACTTCGGTTTGACGTAGACTCTCTGGTTCTGGATTCAGGTTCACTTATGTCATCTTCGTTGTAGCTGCCATAAATCTGAGCCAAGACTTCAGCCACTGTGCGAGGCGATCGGTCACGTTTCTGCTTCTTATTTTCTTCTCCTTTCTTCACAAAATGATGCGATCGTTTCATGCCGATTGCAAAAGGTCAAACGTAATTGTCCCCTATATATCAGTGTAAAGTCAACGTATTTCCTACATAAAGGGTCAGTATCTTCTCAATCCAACCAAAAAGATGGAAGAGCCTTCACAGATCGAACTTTTGATAGAGCTTTGTGAGGTGTCATACGAAGGTTTTCCCCAGAGAAGCCGACGGACTACACTATCTCCTTTGGAGATAAAAGTTAAGATACTTGTTATATCTGTCAAAAGAAAGGTCACTGGTCTTCAGCGTGTTCACAGAGTCAACACAGCAGGATAAGCATCAAATGAGACAAAAGTCAACATACCTGTTATTGTTGTCAATAGAAAGGATATTGGTATTCAGACTGCCCTACGAAAGAACAGGAGCAGAAGGAAGAGAAGGATTCCGAACAGGAAGAAGAGGTACCCTCCGAAAAGGAAGAACCCAGAAACATACAGAAAGAGAAGAAAAGAAGACGAGGAAAAAGTACGGAAGAAGAAGAGGAAAATCCTGTGACAGTGAAGACATTCATAAAAGGAGAGAGTGAACATACAAAGAAGAAAAATGAACTTCTGAAAGTGATGTGTTGTGAATTGGATTGTCAATGTGTACCAGATAATATACCAGAAAGAATAGCACGTGTCTCATGTTGTTTTTATAATAAGGACATACACTCGCGCACCGACACACGTCCGTCATGGGAAAAAGGCATTTTGAGTTTTAATTGATTTTGGTAAACACCGAGTAATCCTTTTTGGAGAGAGGTGGGTGGCATTGAAAAGGACTTTTGGGTGGTTTTCTTTTATAAAAAAAAAAACAATCTCAAGAACGGAAAATCATGAACTTTAACTGCTTTATCCCTTGCCACGAACAATGCCTACTTCTTGACCTGCTACTGTCGATGATTTGGTAGAAATAACTGGTTGCTGTCTCAATCATAGAAAATGTGTGGACGGGGTTGTACTGTTTGGCTCGGGAAAGTCTTTTTCTCATGGGTCTTATTAAAGAAGTCTGATACATTTGTTTCAGACTCCTTAACTCTGCCAAAATGTCCAAGAGTACCGTCACCATTTGACTTTCACCGTCCTCCTTCTCTCCTAGACCTTGGTTCTTCTCTGTTTCTTATTCCTGTTATTTTCTTCTTGCCTCTTCTTCTTGCTGTCGATGTTGAATGAAAAAGGCTTGTTCTGCTTCTTTCTGCTGTTAAAAAATATCTCCAATCTCTCTCTCTCTCTCTCTCTCTCTCTCTCTCTCTCTCTCTCTCTCTCTCTCTCTCTCTCTCTCTCTCTCTCTCTCTCTCTCTCTCTCTCTCTCTCTCTCTCTCTCTCTCTCTCTCTGTTTAAAATCCTCGAAGTACGTTAAGGACGGAAAAGGTGGTGAAGGTGCTGGTACCGGAATAAAGTTTTGTGAAGAAGAGAGAAAATCCACTAGATCCCAATTAAAATCGTTCTCGTCTAGAAGAACTGTGTTTGCTTTGCTTTCCGCTGTTATGCCATCACTTCTCAATCCATCGTCTTCTTAGTTTTCCGTCATGTTCTAACTCTGTCGCATTCATTCAATGCGTACAGACGCTAGCGCACCCATATAGGTATGTGACGCCACAAGCAGCTCTCTTTTGATTAGAAGACAGACTTTGCACTGTGACTGAATTTTGTAAGGCGTGTTAGGGCTGGTGAAAGAACTCAATCCGTTTGTATACGCTCTTCCACTATCTATAAAATACCGCGGATCAAGTTCTGCCTTCACCTGTACTCGTCACAAAATGTGGATTAACGTAGAATCGTCTACCCTCTATCGTATATGCTGTACCACACGGAATAACCCATGTATATCAAATCATCATGGGAAATCTCTAAGATGACTGACACAGCCATTTGAAAACGACGGATGTATGTGGAAATGCAAGGCTGTCTGAGGAGAGTCTTAAAGTGCAACCCAAAGGTAAGACGAAGTTTGAGGAAGTGTAGAATAACCGTGCCCTGCCCTCTATGTTAACTGAATGGTGTTAACAAAAATCCGAAGACCATTTTCACTCCATTGCCTCGGAAAGATATATATTCTCTCTTGCCTAATAAAAATTTACTCGATTTTTGGTGCGATAGATTCAGGTTAATAAATCTATATTTGTGTCCTATGTATGTGTCTCTCTGTCTATTTCTTTTTGTCCCTTGAGTAATGCGTATTCAGATCAGCCGATTTCCGCACTGTTCTGCTCGATTTCGGTCAGACACTAACATAATTTGCAGAGTCCAGTACCGTGACGCCATCCCTGTTCAATTCCTGTTGAGCATAAACAGGCCGAATTCCTTGTCGCTATGATCCATTCCCTTGAGTCTAACCTGGCCCAACCTTGCTCCATGTTAAATTCCCGTTCTAGGCTATAATCCAAACGATCAAATTTAAAATATGAGACTAAATTGCTATCCTTCACTACTGTAGTGTTTATAAACTATGTGTGATTGAAACTTATTCCACATCTAAGGAACAAACTACTGGAATTCCTAAAACAAGCTAATAAAGAAACCGACAGAGCATTAGAAAAAAACCTTTATTCCATTTCATATCAATTAATAAGAGTGTCAGCCTTTCAAAATGTAATTTTAATTGATTTTTATTTCTCATTATAATCAATTCGTGACCTCCCAAACCAAACCATCCTTTTTTATGTTCACTCATTTTTACCTCTTATTGGAGTAGACAATTTTATTGGACATGCGCGACCAATAATTCTCTCTAGTTACATGAATGATAACACTACGTAACATGTTACATTAGGAAATTACAGCTGATGTTATTCTCCGTAATGCAGCCGATCCAGTTTAGATAGCACGACTAACTGTTCATAGTTAGGATATAATCTATTCTTTCAAACCAGTACAAATATTTTGTTTGATAGCAAACTCTTATATAAAAAAAACAACGAAACTAAAGGTTCTTCATATATAAATATGTCATTCGTGTTGTCTAATCCTCATTGAAAGTTGTGATGTGATATGATTATAATTTTTAACGTAGATTTAACAATTTTTCAGTCATTTCGCTACGATGTCTACAGTGTGGCAGTTTATAGTGATGTCTAGCACTGGGGCATCATGCCGCTGACATGTAGCATCATGTCCCACCCAGTCACATTATCCTGACACCAGGCCGACCAATCTTAACACTAACCTCTTAATGCTAAGCGTCAAGGGAGGCAGCTATTAGTACCATTTGTGTAAGTCTTAGCTATGGCTCGACCGGGGATCGAACCCACGAGCTCTCGCATCCGAGGCGAACGCTCTAAACATTAGGCCACCGGTGTGGTTGTCATGAAAATAATTCATTTATGTTGTTTAATCGTTGTTAATAGAAGTCATTTATGTTGCCTGATTCAAATAAATAAGAATCTTTTATGTTGTATGATTGTCAGGAATAAAGATCTTTAATGTGGCTTGATTGTAATAAATATGTCTTTTTTGTTGCCTGCTTATCAAGAATAAAGGTATTTTATGATGCTTGTTTCTTATAAAAGGAAAGACTTATGTTCAAGAAAAGTTCTCTTTTCCTATAAAAACGATCTCAGAAAATTTAACCTTTTGTTTTGCCTGTCCCAGTCAACATTGTGTATAAAGGTTAGGCAGACTTTTAACCAAGTTTGGGCAGATTTATTCTACACTTGAAAGATTTATATCTCAACATAATGTGCGTGTCTCTAACATGGGTTGGTGGAGGAGGATGTGAGTAATCTCCCCCTCTTGTGGTGTTTGGTTATCGTTACCTAGGAGATTATTGCCTGGAACAAGTAAACAATAAAATATAATATGAAATTAATGGAAGGAATAACAGAGAACTGAGAAAAGATAAAGAATAGAATAACACGAACTCCCGGATGTAAAACACACCAGTCAATTTAATAAATTACATAAAGAAGTATGACATTGAACATGACATGTGAATAATTCACTTTCTCTCAGAAACTGAGTTACAAAATTATGTTAATTTTAATTATCAAAATTTTGTTACTGAGAAAAAAAAATTTCATCATATATTCAAGTGACAGGTTGAACACAGATTGCCTGGTATGACAACATTCCCTGATGCTTCTGGTCTCTCTCTCTCTCTCTCTCTCTCTCTCTCTCTCTCTCTCTCTCTCTCTCTCTCTCTCTCTCTCTCTCTCTCTCTCTCTTACATTCTTAAGTGACCATGATATAATTAGCAATCTCTAATACTATTATGGCCCTTTTGTAACGATAAAATTTACTAGCTGACCTATCAGTCGACATACTACACACGTTATACACCGTCAATACAGACGATTTGCCGAGAAATACTTTCTATTTCCCGCACTCGTGATTTCCCTTTCGGCAAAAATACTTGGACTGGTTAATTATATGAGGAGATCTATTCTAAAACAATGAATTCCGTCCCGTCTGGTAACACGTCCCTTCGGTTAGCTTAGCCAATCAGGATTACTTCTTTACCCTCCAAAATTCCTTCTCACTCCCATCAACGTCACAAACTCTTATAAAGTCAGCCTTTATTAATGATGATTCTGGAAGACATCATTTTATTTCACCTGCTTCATATGGATTACAATTTACTAACATTTTTCTCTGGTACCTATTACTCTGGACAGTTTACCAGTATGACCTCACATTAACATTGCTCTCCTGTCTGTTCTTAACTGTTAAACAAGCGTGTCCTATTTAAACTTCAGTTAATTCATGCCCCAAGTAGAGCAAATTCTATCCCTCGCAGTTAACTATTTATTGCGTAACTAGCCATTATATCAGTCTTAATAGGTAAATTTCACGCTGACTACGAAAGAACGTATTGTCAAATTATCTATAGAACTATTCTACAACATTTTGCATCATTACCCCCCCCTTCTTTGTATGATACAAGACTTAATTGTGTGACACTAGGACAATTATTACATTAACAAATTCATTTTATGATATAAATTATAGTGGTCATAAATTACATAGCATTACATCTGTATCATAAATGTCTCAAAATCATCGAGATTTAAAAAATAGTCATAAGGGTAAAACCTGATCGAAATATAAACATCGCGATATAAGCGGAATCACGTCAACAAATTTTTCGATAAAATTCCTCAGAGAAAATATGCATTAAAATTTCAATGTCATCACTTCAACGAAAAAATCTGCTAGGGAGGCGAATAATCAGCTTTTCCGTGAGCGTGTCTTTAGACTATTAAAAAAGATGTCACCTTTTAAAAAAAATGGGACCTATGCTGCCATCACGTTATAACCTTGATCGCATTATAACGATTCGCGTTATCATGGATTTTGCCTGTACTAAACTTTAATTATTAAATGCTTTAATTGCTCTGAAGTGGCGTTTGACGGCAGAAAACCTCCTGACGGTTATATAGTACCGCGATGGCAGAAGCATGTGCCTTGCATGGGAAACGGTACAATATCTTACTCTAGTCTGGCACACTGTTGGCTTTGAACGACAAAACATCCAATTTTGTCTAATCCCAGTAGGAAAAAATATATCGAGTTATTCTAAAAAGAGGAGATTCACTTTGATTGTTTTAAGTTATGTCGTGTTATTCTAAAAACAGGAAGCTTCTTAAGCATTGGTGTAAGTTAATGTGGGTTTTTTCATTTCGTTTTTGTAATACAATCCTCTTTATAACAAAATTGTCCATGAATATAAAATTCATGAATTACGAAATGAACGTGTTTGCCTACAATATTGTGTGAATTAATTTTTTTATCTATCAGTAAGTGAGAAAACATTTGTTTCTCTATTTTTTAATGTTCAATATTCGTAAATAATGCGTGTAATTGCCTTGAAGCATTGTAGTGTCCAGTAGTCATATAGTAATAGGTAGATTGTTCCTTTCACCATATTTATTATATGAATTATTGTAAGTAATATTACCTACAACACTGAATCAAACTGCAATGAGCTGTTTCTGTCGCACTGCCTTTAGTAGGATGCAAGGAGCAGATTCTATTAACATCAATGGACGATCTTCTTGCTCAGATGACAATCAAACTAGCCAACTCAGATTACCGACATCAAAACCGCGTCCACTGTGAGAACGATAAAGTTTGCCCTATATTCGCCAGTGGGCATTGCTTATCATTATCATGTAATAGATTACGAAACAAGAGATGTTCATCGAGTCCTAGATTGCAAACCTGACGGCATCACGCGTGTAGATTTCTCTTAGAACATGACCAGCCAGGACTGATACAAATTGAATAATTATTATATAAGATATTAATACCGGATTATTTAATCTGTATAGTTTTATTTGGAAATAAATGGCAGCATAGGATTTATAAATTGAAAACTTCGTCTGAAGATATAATTAAAAATTAATCTCAATTGAAATTTATATATATATATATATATATATATATATATATATATATATATATATATATATATATATATATATATATTGGTACAACGCGAGATGTACCTTCAAACAATGCATTGATTATCAGATTTTATGCATTTCACAACAAATTAAAAAATATTTTGTCCCTAATGGAGAATGTTTCAGACAACTTTCTTTGAGAGCATCATGTAAAAACGTTATTAAAGACACCGAATCAAACCAAATCCTCTTTAAACACAGAATATCTCTCATATTATGACACACAGGTACATAGATTTCGTGTCAGGTCATGCTGTGTATATTTGTGCGATTCGTTTGTTTGGACAAAGTACATACAATTTCGACCGTTTTTCATACAAAAAAAATATATTTAAATTTAAACAAAATCTACATGTAATTACTTGTAAGACTGAATCGCGCATTAATATATTGTACATTTTGCCTAACCTGTTCATAGTTCCAAACAAGAACTAGCGCACTAATGTACTAGTAGTACAAGGTAAGAGCTTAAATATTTTAAATTTGGCAGAGGTCCAATAGCATCATCATGCTAGACAACACTGGTGAAGAAATGACTAGCATCAGTTAATATATGCAGTATCGCATCACGTGTGCAGATTTCGTTAATTACGTAAATCAATGGGCTCTGAGTTGTCGAGTAGTTTAAAGGACTCACCGTTACGGATCACGGCCATCTCACCTCTGTGTGTGTGTGTGTGTGTGTGTGTTTAGGTTCGAGTCTCGGGCTCGGTCAATGTGGGTACGTGAGAAAGCTTCTCAGTAGCTTCTCGTGGGTCGTTGGTTCATTCTGGGGTTTTCCCTGGTTCTTCCTCCAGCAATCATACTGTCCGCCATGTTTAGTCTATCTTGTGCTGAAAAATAGCGTTAAACACTAGAACAACAACTTTAATCCATTTTAAACCAAGCAACAAAAAAAAGGTATCGCTTTTCCAGCGGCGATTGTGGTAATGTAGGCGACTTTATCAATGCTACGTTCGTGTGTTAAAGCTTTTGAAAGTACTCTTTCATCTGCATCAGTTGCTTTACTGAACTAAACGTTAGTACAACATTAGTGCCTAAAGAATGCACTCTGATGATACTGCAGGAATCCTGTCTCGCCTGCCGAAATGGAAAGTTGCTTCATAACACTGTTGATAAAGGAGATGCCGCTCTCGGCCAAATATTTGTTTTATCTTTCTGTAGTTTTAATTTTTGTTGATGCAACGTCATTTTAATTTAATGTTTTTAACTGTCTGGATAATATCTGATCACAAAGCTGTATGTAAATTTGCGGTATTTCTGCATATAACAATATGATTATAAGCTGATTAATTTTAATAAAATGGACTAAAGCTATTCACCCACCTACGCCCATCCACCCCCACACTAAAAAAAACAAATTCACCATCTTTATCCAAAAGTGAATGTTTGATATGAATATAACATATGATACAAAACTGTGGCAATATAAGTTTTGAAAGCATTTCTTTCCTGTTGAAAATTATGTGTTCTACGATAAATTTTCGCTATTAAAGCAATGTTAATCGTGCAAAGATGTAATAACTGTTCAATTTTAGAGCTGATTTTGTCTTTCTTCCATTTTCATATCTTAAAAGTGTAATAATTTTTATTCTTAAAGCAAATTTTACCGTTGATTTTATGAGGTTGTGACCTGTGAAGTATGCTACAAGTCAAGGTACTGCAGATCGTCATTTTGTGGGCAGTATGAGGAATTACATGAGAATAAACGTACCCTCATAAATCGCTGATAATTAGACCACGTGCTGAAACCGATTTTTACCTCGACAAGGGTGTTTTGTCTACGCTATATTTTTTAAATAGACATTATTTGTTTGTCATACTGTATTGTTCTTGGGTCAAAAGTTCGATGAATGATCGTCTTTAAAGCACAACAATCCTTATTCATTTGTTTAGCTTATC